GGTGGTGGTGATGGTGATGGTGGTGGTGGTGGTGGATAGAGATAGGTGTGCCGTGTATGCGACAGGGGAAAAGGACGAGATGATTTATATAAAGCAGTAATATTCTGATAAGGCAATCCACAGTTCAGTAAAATCCTAGGAATGGAAGATTATACCCCGAACCCTCACTTCTCCTCTTAACAAAACACCAGAAAAATGCGCCATAATTGAAATCAACAGAAAATGCGGTTGAGCACTTCTACTGGTCTGGAATAAAAAGTGCATTTTTGCTATCTGTTATAAGTTTCGAAATGAATTTACGACTAAAAGGGTGATTGGAGAAGTCCGCTCTCTCGGTCATTAGGGATCTGCTAAATCAGTAAAATTGACGCGCCTAGAATGCATAGAAGTGGTTTGCGAAATGTACCACTTGACGCAGATAGCTTATTTCAGAAGGACTAGAATGCGAATAATTGGCAATGCCAACAAAAGATGGTGTCTTTGCAGCCAATTTCAGGTGCAATCTTCTAACCCCTCCTGAAATTGAAAACTTTTCGGGGTAAATTATTTCTTTGTTGGGCCGGATACTGGGGAGTCCTTCGGCCGATGCTCTAGGGACCTCCACGTAGCAGACGCCACTCGCCAAGAGGAAAAAAATTGTTACAAGAAAACCGATCACTTAGAGGGCCTACGCAATAGTATCTACCAATATTATACCAGGCAATATGATCTTCCATCGAAAAAAACACCTCAATCATCAGAACGCAGCTTCTAACTGCCAGCCATGACACAGGACGCCCTGTCAGTGAGGTCGAAGATTTGCCCCCTGCCTACGCTTAAAGACAGTAGGAGGAAACACCGATGAGCTAAATCCCGGTGAGCATTCCAGTCCTGACAAAAGGAACAACATTGCACCACCACCACCACCACCACCACCACCACCACCACCACCACCACCACCAACACCATCACCACCACCACCAACACCCCTATCATCACCACCACCACCGCCGCCGCCGCCGCCGCCACCACCACCACCGCCACCACCAGCGGTGTAGACACTATGTTCACTTTGCGATTGCGAATGACGATATCCACTAAGTTCCTCACAGCATGGCGGGTGAAGGGACGGCGAGTTGCGTGTGAATTAGTTTATAGCGATCGTAGACTTGCGCTTACATACTCACTTCCCTCTCAGTCACCTGAGCCGAGTATCAAGACAGAGTCCAACAGACCGAAGACTGAGGTCACACCTAAATGGGAGTGCCACAGAGGCCACATTATGACGGAGTCTGACTCTCTGTCCTGAGAGGAGAACCGAGTTATCCTGTCAATTTTCAGCCTTCCAAACCACGGCTTTTAGCGCGCCGTTAGTTTAAAAGAGCGTCAGATTGCTAATAGTGAGAAATATGTGCTGAGTACAGTAGGGACGCAGTAGGGAATCGAATTCATTCTCTCTTCCCTCCTCCCAGTCGCAAGTCCACCGTCCGAGTCGGTCAGTCACGTGATGCGGCGATTCGGTGCGCCGGCAGACAGCCCGTCTGCGCAGGCCACACACGCGGCCTGGTCTCCCGCACAACACGCCAGGTTATCACACAGAGGTGGTTGGTAGCTT